GGCAGCTCCTGCCCGTCCCACGGGAGGAGGAGGAGATGGTGAAGCTGGGCCCCCCGCGTCCCGCGGGACACGTGGCTGCACCCCAGACCTTCCTCGTCGCGGCGCAGCCGAGGTGAGCCTGGCCGGAGCCATCCCTCCCTGCCGCTGCAGAGGGTCGGGGCTGCGTCCCCCCTGTCCCCCTGCGCGGTGGCCGCTTTGGGTGGCTCCTCGGTGGGCCACGCTCCTCTCGCCCCTCTCCCCGTGGCTCTTTAACTCCTTCCCGCCCAGCTGGGAGAGGCCTCACGTCATGTACGGGCAGCTGCTGGACTGGCTGCGCTACCTGGTGGCCTGGCAGCCGGTGATCATCGGACTGGTCCAGGGCATCAACTACATCCTGGGGCTGGAGTAAGGGCAGGCGGTGGGGAGCCGGCGAGCCACGAGAGGACGCGTGCCCGGGGCAGGGGACAGCCGCCCACCGGGGACGCTGGCTTTCCTCCGTCACCTCTCAGGACCTCGGCCGCCCCCGAGGACCGCGGCGTCGGGGACCGAGGGAGGACTCTGCCCTGGGACTCCTCCCGCTAGGGCTGGGGGAGCCTTTTTTTTAAAAGCAATTATTTTAATGAGCGTATTTAAAACTTTCTATTGCAGCCAGCCCCTCTCCGGCCCTTTGCACGGCCCCGCCGTGCCGAGCTTTTGGCTGGGGGCTGTTCTCCATCTCCCTCTCCTGCCGCTCTGCCGGGAGAGGCGACACGGAGAGGGCCAAGGCTTTGCCGGCTCCGACGCCAGCTCCCGGGAGCAGCCGTGCCGGCAGCGAGGAGGGGACGCGGGGAAGCAGGGTCAGGGTTGGGCCCCTCTGCTGTGGGGGGCTGTGGAGGAGAGGCGGCCCGGGGGGCTGGAGCCCGGCGCCCTGGAAGAGGGGACGGGGGGACGCTCGGCTGCCGGAGCGCCGCGGGCCGGACTCTTGGCCGCCAGGTCCCCTTCGCGGTGCCGTGGGCGTGAGGGGAGGAACCGAGCCGGTGACGGTGGGCTCTGCCTCGGGTCACCCTTTTGTACGCTCCCCTCTTTTCTACGTTCCTCCCCGGGGGCCGGCGGCCTTGCCCGGCTGCTGCGGCTCCCGGGGCCGCCCGGGGCCC